TGTTTACTTTAAATAAAGATATGCTCAGCTGTTCGTGGGAACATTCAACCCTGCTTTTCTAGCTTACTTCTTGGACATAATCATTTTTCCTACACACTTGGAAAAATAGCTAAAACATGCTTCTTTTGGGATGAATTATGAAACAGTTAAGCAGGACATAACAGAGGAAACAACCATTTACTAATCCATTAGAGCAAAACAGATAAAAGCAACAGACCTCTGTTCTAAGCAAGGACCAAGCAAATGAGAAAGAGAACAGGAATGTAAATTAGTACTTGTATGGGGGATTTTTATTTGCTTTAACAGTTTATTCAAATATGAAGAGGGAGGAGAAAAACAGCAGAAAATAAGATAGGCCAAAGGTAAGTAGATAAAGATGTGCTGAGGTCAAATGCATATGGTGTGCCAGAAAAGCAGGGAATGAGAAGACCAAATGACTGAGAGTGAAGGAGTCTGATAAAAAGATGAGAAAGACAGCTGAGGAGGGGCTGCTATCTAGGCAGGGTTGTCAAAGTCCTCATGAAGGACTCTTTATGAAGCATGCAGGAGGAAACTGCTCATGGCTATATAAAGCTCACTGATCAATGTCCCCACAGGAGCTATCAGTGAGATGGGCTTTCTCTCATATTAAAGTCCTTGGTGGGGAGAAAAAAAAAAAAAAAAAGCTATCTTCAATTCCTTAATCCTATGTGTGGTTAAAGGACCATGATACTTTAAATCTCCTATATGTTTTTCCAAGTTATCTGACTGCAGCAACCTATCTTGTGAAAATAATGCATATAGAGCTCCATTTCTTGGAAGAATTTAACTCTTCTGCAAGAGTCCTATTTATTGTGTAATTTTACTTTGGTTTTGAGCGTCTGGAGAACGACACCTGAGAGAACTTCAATACTAACCAAGCACCATTCAGGTTTCTCCATCTGCTTGAAGAGCCACTTGATTATCCACATTCCAAACCAATAAGCATTTATTTCACCATCCCAAGAACATCATTCTTGCACTTTTTTACAGAATACCACCACCCTCAAATGAAAAACATACCCTCCCAGAGCATACTACTGCTCTCGATTTAGTTTTCACACACTCTGTATCAGATGACGTGGTCCATAGGAGGCCCTTTCCTCCAACATATGTTTGTTCAACACCAAATTTCACCAAGAGATCTAGAACACTTAACACCCTTAAGATGTTTACCCAAGACAAAAACTTATGCAATCTGATTCCATACCCTCTCCTGTTATCCCACTTCTGTCTGTAATATTATTAGTTTGCTCCAACAGATCTGTCTGACAGAAGAAATAAGATAACACATTAAATGTGGACTTTAAGATAATGCCAGTAAAATTTTGGGCTTTGAAAGCATTTCCCGTATCAGTTTGTTATTACTGCAATATATTTTTCAAAGGGAACAGGCATAAACACAGAACGAATTTCTACAGAAAACAATCTTAGAAACTTAACAATGTGTAGGTCTACAATAAAACTTCCTTTTATCTTTCCAGCATCTTTAAAAACTTTCCTATAGCCTGTTCGGCTACTATTATTAACATTAGTTCTATTGCATATGAATATTTAAGTTGCCTCCCAAGAAATTAAGGGAATCCGATTCAAGTAAGGTTTCCTGCCTGTTAAGCACCACGGAGTGACACTTTCCTGACACTGTCTGCTGGAACAGAGGCAACTTGTTTTTTGGAAGTTACGTGAAAAGGGGTAGTACATGACAACAGTGGTAGCTGGTATTTAGTATAAGTGGTAGTCATATTTGCCTAAAAAGACACTGCAAAAAGCATAAACTTGTGTTTAATTTTTTTTAAAAAGTGAATTTGAATACATGTGTAAGTAACATGAGTTAGTTTTGTATATGTATAAAATTTTGCAAAGACAGGCAATTTTCAGAATTGCTTGTAAACATTTCTATCAAAACTAGTGTTTTCCTATTTCATAAAATACTTGTTATTCTAACATTCAAAAGCCATATAGAAACTTCACAACTTCTAGTTAAAAAATAAGTAATGGAAGCACAGTAAAATTTACTCAAAACAAAACTAAAAAGCATATCCTATAAGAGACAAATTCCTAAGAAAAGAGATCACCCTCACCCATTGTCTTTAAACCTCAGAAGAGCTCACATTCTGAAGTTTAAACACAAAAAATGTCTCTCATGTTATAATACTCTATGATCAGTTCTGAGATATCAGAACTTCTGAACACAGATAGTTAAATTTCTCAATTGACTTTCACTATTCTAATAATAAATCTTTCAAAACAGTCGAGATTATTATAATATAGGACAATACAATTCAGTCTCTGCCTCTTTAGTTACACTGGTGACTATGAAGCCAAACACAATTCCACAAGAACTAACTTGCTAAACTTAAAATCTCTTGTTACGTTGATTATATTAAAATAATCCAACCTAAATCCTGTGATGTTGTACACCACACAGAAAACCACGGCTGCCTAGAGTTAACTAACTTCTTGATCCAGGGGCATTGCAAATTGCAGAAGCACTCAGAGACTTAAAACATTTCAACTTTATTAATTCATGGTTAAAAGTACAAAAATTTGTACAGTAAGAGAAAAGCATTTCTACTATAGCCCTGAAATTGCAGAACATAAGGAATTTGATTAAAAAAGGGTCATTTTTCTTTCGGCCCAACCACATCAATACCAGCTTGACCTGCAATTTTCTAAACTACCATGCACAACAGTTACTGTGCTAAAAATATGCTGTTACTCAAACTTTGAGATATTCTCTCCAGAGATAGGACTTCCTAATAGGAGATTCAAATTAATAGGAAGTGCCCTTCCTGTGTTTTCTGGACTCTTAGACTAATGGATTTGTTTTCAACAGCCTTTAAAAAAAGAAGGAGCAGATTTACCAGCTGATTGGTGTTCATGCTTAAAGTGAAGTGACCTTGCATACAAAGCCAAAGTGTAGCAGACCACAATTGTCTCCATTCAGGCACAAAACTGTAGCAAGTTTGGGTTTTCCTGTGTTTCAGGAGGAATTTGTACAGGGATTGCTTTAAGAGCCTGTTAGTTTGTGATTTCTATTTAACCCTGCATGTAGCCCTACTAGCAACTGATGGGAATGCCTGTGAAGGAACTGAACACAAAGCTGACTCCTACTTTCAGGAAAGCAATTTTTATGTAGAGAAAGTGAACAGTTCTGGCCATGTGTATACAGCTATGCCAAACATACCTGACTCACTCAACTATGTAAAAACACTATATAAACTAAGCACTTCTTAAAAATAAATAAATGACAATATACTCTGTAATGTAATGCAAGGAAAAAAATCATAACCTACAATTAAGACTTCCAGATATTAAGGCAAAGCGACAATCAATACCAGTTTTGAAGAAAAACCGTCCTTTAGGAACAACTAACTTTTCAGGTCAGCATGTCTTTTGCATTACATATAGCAAGAATATGAAGCCAAAAGGCTGAAATACACATGGAAATACACTTTTCTTTTTAATACTAATGACGTTTGATTTTGATTTGTGAAGGATGAGGGGAAAACAGATAGCTCTGGTTACATAGTTAGACTAGGAAGTTCAACAGCCAAGAGTCCTATCACTTAGAAAAGTTTTTCAGTCTGTTTCATATGCACAAAAAAACCCCACCCACCATTAACGAAGGTTAACAATATGGATTTTGACACACGGGATCCTCCTGACTTCTCACTGCATAAACCCAAGCTCCTGCAAGACTTGTTATTTCAACATTTCATTACCAACAAAGTGATGACCATCTGTAATGACTTCAGCAAATGCAAATGAAAAAACAACGTGTCTTTAACCTGGTAACCTTTATCTATCCTACTTCTAAATCAGTTGTCTTAAAATACATACAGCAGTTCAATTCTAATACTTAAACTTTATATATACAAACACAAAACTATTTTAATCTTAGCCTAAGTCTATTTCATTCTCTCCCAGTTAATGGAAACTTATCTCTTTATTGTAAATGTCACTGCTTCTTGCTGGTTTCTCATATTTTAAAAAAAAAGTATTAGAATAAAAGAATCTTTGAATAATTAATCAGAGAAAGTACTACTTTCATCCAGGATTACGAAATAATTATTAAATACTCTTCCACAAGATTGAAAGTTATGTGAGTCCTCCACTTGTGAGAGATCTTAAATTCATTTAACAAAGCTGCTGACAATGGATCAACAGTCAAAATGAGAACAATTCCCAGGAACTGTTATCAAATAGTCCCTGGTTGAACAGGGAGGTTGGAGCAGACGACCCACTGTGGTCCCTTTCAATCTGACCAAATGCTGTCATTCTGTGATATTGAGAGACACAGCCATGTAACCACATATTCAAGTATATATTAAGCATTTCATTCTCTATCAGGGAATGCTTAAACTATTTTAGTTATCTTAGTATTAAAACATAAACATGAAGGAAAAGTGGAAAAAGTCAGGCCAGTCAGAGATGAAATTTCCGAACATTTCAAATGTATTTTGTTCTTTCACATCACAGTAACAGGATCAATCTCAGAAGAATCCGACTGGTTTAAGGTTTTATGTAGAAAACTTAATTTCACCTTCTGTTCACACACAAAAAGATATCCCCACCTATTTTTCTAATGATTTGTATTTTTTCCACTTGTAAGGTAGAACTCTTAAGCAGTAAAGTTCCGCTACAGATCACAAGAATAGTTAAACTGTGCTCTAACCAGAACATGGCCTGGGAGGAAAAGACAAGAGTAAGTAAAGTTTAACTGCAGCCTGCCATTAAACCTCTGTTCTGTGACAAGCCCCCTCAGGCATCTTAACAGAGCTCTCTTGTTAAAAGCAGCATATTTCTGTTGTAAAAGTAGAAAGAAGGGCAGAGAACTAAATGCAGGACAGGAAGATGCCCTTTTCTTCTGAGCTTTGAGTAACACTTCCGTGATGTGTCATTTTCTTTGAGACCTTCAGTATATTTTCTAAAATAAAAAGAGGAAAAGCTTCAGCTACAGAAATAAACAAAAATCTCACCTTGTTATTTTCACACTTGTATGGGATTTTGAGGGTATCCATGGCCTTGATCATGGCCTGCATTGCTGTAAATATATTCTGGTACACCAGTTTTGTAAAGCCCCTTTTGTCTTCATCAGAGTAACCTGATCCATGAATGATTCTCATCTGCTTGATAAATGTGCTTTTGCCACTCTCTCCTGTGCCTGAAAGACAAATAAGAAGGATATGCTTTACCCACTGGACACATACATGACCTTTTTGCACAATGCTGGCAGCTTAGTGCAGGGCTGAACAGTGTCAAGTGGTGCTTGCAACATAACTACAAGGACCAGTTTAATGTCAAACAGCAGCATCAGTAGCAACTGAAGAACAATTGAATTAAAATTTGCATTTTGATTTAACAACTAAACTAATGAGCAAAACAAAACTCCAAAATATACATAGTATATATGACTGCATATTTAAAAATCTTCCATTCTTAAAGATGTAATTGTTCAAAACCTCTAAACTCATGTAACTGCTATCAGACATTTTATCACAAAAATTCAGGGACTAAAGGGAAAAGAAATCTTCCTAGGCCAATTCTCAGGACACTACAGTAATCTCTTGGTATTACAATCAACAGATACATCTGTATTTTGGTTTGGGGGTTTGGTTTTTTTTTTTATTTGTTTGGGTGTGGTTTTTTTGTTTTGTTGGGTTTGTTGGTTTTTTACTTGTTTTGTTTGGGGGTGGGTAGTTGGGTTGGGGCTTTTTGGATTTTGGGGGTTTTTTAAGCAAGTATTGTAACAATCAAAGACCTGTAAACTTCAATATCAGAAATGCGTGAAATCACTGTCAAAATTTGGCTCATATTCATTAATAGGCAGTGATTCCTTCCATTTATTTTTTTTCATGTCTTTGTACTTTGTACTAAAAGTAGTTTATTAATGAAATATGACTATGTGTCAACTTAGAAGTTAAGATCTGCTTGATGGAAACTTCACAAAGGTTACAAAACACATTTTTCCTTTGCTCCAACTCAGCAAGCTCATCTGTAACTACAAGAGCTTATCTATATTATCCATGTGTTTGCTTAAGAGGAGGAGTTGAATCTGCACAGCCACATAAATCCTGCATTCACTCAAGCTACTCAGCCTGCAGAAAACAAAACACATTGCTCAGGGCTGTGTTTTTCACAGACTTTCAGCCTGAGCTTTATTTTAATCATTTCTGTAAAGCTTTCATGTCTCATACCCTAATAGCCATATCCCAGGACAAAAGCAGCTGTATATGCCCCCTAGATTATGTTTTAGGTGTCTTCTCAGAAAAAAAGTGTTTCACAGCAGTGCACGTGCAAGGTTAAAGGAGCAACTCTCAACTATTTCTGAGATAGCATACACTGCAAGTCTAAGTCTTTTACCAAGAGCATAATGTTGAAACCTTCAGTCCCAATTCCTGCACAGATAAAACAAACTACTAACGTAAGTTTTCCTTACACACACATTCCCAGAAAATCAAGCATGATATTACACACTATAAAATCACAGAATGGTTTGGGTTAGAACGGACCTTAAAGATCAGGTAGTTCCAACCCCCCTGCCATGGGCAGCGACACCTCCCACTACACCAGGTTGCTCAGAGTCTCATTCAACATGGCCTCGAACACTTCCAGGGATGGGGCAGCCACAACTTCTCTGGACAATCTGTGCCAGTGTCTCATCACCTTCATATGTAAAGAATTTCTCCCTAATATCTAATCTAAACCTATCCTCTTTCCGTTTAAAGCCATTCCTCTTTGCCCTATCATTACTTGTCCTTGTCAAAAGTCCTGCCACAGCTTTCTCGCAGGCCCCCTTGAGGAACTGAAAGGCTGCTAGAAGATCTCTCTGGAGCCTTCTCATCTCCACACTGAATAACCCAATACTGCACAATTTTACTTTCTCTAGGGAGAAAGTAGTTGTTATTAATTTAATGAAGAAGAACATGCTCTGAGGCTGAAACGTGAGACCAAGTCTGCTTCCATCCTCAGCCTTCACAGGGTACACTGCAGCATTAGGTGCCCAGGCCACCTCTTTAGGGCACTCCCCAGCCACCAGCCACGACTCACCCCACACAACTCAAGCAACTCATGCTAACCAGGCACAAGTCTCTGCAGAATGGGTGATATAGTACGGGCCATCCTGGGTCAATGATAATTGCCTGTCTTCCAGTTCATCAGAATCAGAGGTAAAATCTTTACACTTCTGCAACTGATAGATTTCAGTGGAGAGAAAACATTACTTCCCTTAAGATTGCATAAAATTATAAACCTAGACAATATAGAACTATTACATTGTAAAAAATTACTTTAGGCCACTCTTAAGACTACCACAGTTATTCTCTTTTTCTGAAATCTATGAAACAGTCGCATTCTTTTATGTGAAGCGAAATAAAGTGCTATTCCTTATGTTCTTTATTAATTCTGTAATACTGTCCACCCTTTTTGCAAGATATGTCATTTAGTAAAAAAAAAAATCTGTTCAACATGAGCCTATAAAACACAGACCAGTATATCAGATGCCTTTTGGACATGATTAACTCTTCTACCAGAAGTTCTGCTTTAACTAATACACAAAAAAATAATTTCCACCCAACACCTCTGAATCAGTGGAATACCAAGTGACTTCCAGTTTTAGTTCTAACACTTTTTCACATGGGAATTCATGTTCCTTCAAAATCTCCAAATGAAAATTTACCGTAGAGATAGAAAGAACATGCTCTTATTATTCCCTGAAGCTTCTAATTTTTTAAATACTTGATTAGAGAAGACAGTATTTCAGATTAGTTACACCTTGAAGGTGAGTCTACAACTACCATAAAATGTAGGAAAACAAAATTAAAATCCAAAGAAGAATCTCAAATTTAAATCTGCATCTCATTCATCTCTGTGGTTCTGTAATTGGATGTCACTGTACTCAGACACTGTCAGACAAAAAACAGGAACAAATTATACATGGAGATCTAAGACACAGATACACACAAATTATATATATATACACATATATTTTATATACACATGTATAGCCATACATATGTATGTAAAACTATCTAAGGTATACACACATAAAATACTTTTAACTATCCATACATATATGAAAATGGCATCTATCTTTCCTTTTGAAGGCCAACTCAAAATTTCCTCAAGTCTCTCTCTCACCAGGTCAATGCTTAAAACTACTTGTGTCTGCCCACAGACTAATTTTCTAGCTAAACTAGTGGAAACAAAACATTCCTAGTCCTCCTCAGCTGCGCAATGTGTCATATGCACAGGGGCAGAGCGTAAAAAGTAACCTGGGGAAAATGAAAATTATGGAAAATTTCCAGAGAATGCATGAAAAACGGAGAAGAGAATATGATTACCAGATAATAACAACATTTGTAGGGCTGCCCAAGAATTACTAAGAAGTGAAAATATTAATTTTCAGCACAATGTACTCATTAAAACGTCACATTGGTATTTTTTACATTGTTGTGATCAAGGGCATATTGTTGCTCACAAGAAGAGCAAAGACATTTTAATTCTGACTTTTTTTAAAGAATGACATCAAATATTTTCATTAAAAAATGTCCCATTTATGTGGACATTGCTTAATAGTGAGAGAACACCATTTACTAGCATGTCACTAGAGATTTGCTCACATACTTCTCCCCAGATGAAAAAAATAGAAAAGAAAAAAAAAGAAGCAACGCTATTTACTAGAGAAGTGGGGGAGAACTTGGCATCATCAATTACCAGGGTTAGCTAAGGAAAGCTGCAATCATTACAACATTATTCCTCGTGTAGAGGTTGACTTTAAACTGTCACTCCTACAGCGCTAAACCAAACCTAGATTTGATTGGTTTTATACATTTTTCAGCTTTAAAACCCCATGACTGGCATGATAGTAAGATCAAGACATTGACTGATACGCCACAAACTTGTGCTTTCTACACAGCCTCAGCCATTCATTACAGAACAAGTTAAGAAATACGTCTTGGCAATATATGCATAAAATTTTACCTGTTCACCACAATAAACAAAACCAACACTGGATAACACCCTGAACAGGACTTTTGAGTGGGCCTGTTTACCTAGTGAAAAGAAGAAAACTTCCAAACAAGTAAGAAAAAAGTATACATGTCCTAAATGGATGTGAACGCCTTACAGTCTCTGCTAACCACTGTTTCCACCATCATCATCCCAGGAATACCTCTACCTGCTACAAGAAGAGAACAAAGTGAAATGGCAATGCAGCAGATCAGCAGAATGGAGCAATAGGGGATAAAACTATACTAAGATCAATTTTATGCTGGCTGCCATTGCACAATTAAATCAGTCAAGCCTTGGGTCAGTTCTCTGAAACCAGACAAGTAGTAACTTCTGGTGTGACAGAAAACTGCTGAAGGGTACACACTGTACCTGAATCTCAATCATAATCACAATAACACCACCATGCTCCCTCTTTATCTTTTAAAAACTGTGTTTTTTCAAAAAAACCCCCCACAATCCTAATATAATTCCTTGTCTGGTACTTTGGAGAGAATTCAATTGTCTGACCAAAAACAAAACAAAACAAAAAAGAAGATTAAAGCACATAGCACGGTTGGTCATTTTGACTTTTATAACTTTCTTCCAGATAAAAATCAACCTAACCAACAAATGAAAAAAAATAACCCATCTCCTAAAAACAGTAATGTCTCAATTAGTGATAAATTGCCAATAAATTGTGACTTAGTTATCAAAACTTGTAAGAGATTAACATCATACAACCAGAAAATTTCTGACAATGTATTATTCTTCTTCAAATTGTAATAGCAACAACTATTACTGCGTCAGCAAGAATTTTAGAATCAGAGATCCAAAAGTCTCCCTAGCAATATTATATCCAAAAGTAGAACCAAGAAGGAAGTCAGGTTGCTTAAATATAGAGTAGTTCCTCACACGTTTGCCCACATAGATTCACGTAACATGTAAAATTTATTGTATTGTTGCTATTCCTCCTGATGCATATCCTGCAAAAATGAAACTACAAAATGTTGAAACACAAAATCTTTTTCCCTGTGAAACTTACACTCTGGCAACTATTAAAAGAAGAAATGCTGCTAAACTAAACTCGACTCTGTGTTAACTGCCAAGTCTGACCTATGATAAGGGAGAAAAAAACCCACTATTCTATTGTTTGAAATGTTATATTTAAATTAG